ACAAACAGAAACACACGTTTTCTTTTAAATGGGATAAAAGGATGCAAACAGGAAATATAAATGTTTACTTTTAGATGGGATAAAAGAATGCAAACAGAAAACATACATGTTTTCCTTTAGATGGGATAAAAGGATGCAAACAGAAAGTGATTAACTGTCATATTCTGCATACTCGTCTGAAGTTATATCACTAATATATTTATAATTTGGCTTCTAATTGTATATGTACTATACCACAATTTATTAGTCTTTACACACACATAAATCCCATAAATACATACATACATACATTGCATGCCTGCCTGCCTGCCTACCTACCTACCTACACACACACACACCACACATACATACATACATGCATACATACATACATACATACATACATACATACATACATACATACATACATACATACATACATACATACATACATACATACATACATACATACATACATACATACATACATACATACATACATACATACATACATACATACATACATACATACATACATACATACATACATACATACATACATACATACATACATACATACATACATACATACATACATATGTATATACTATTTCTTATTTCCATAATTGCCATATAGGTAATGTATATAAGCGATTTCTGTCGATATTTAACCGTAGGTAAGTATGTTTCGATCCTTTGAAATATGCTTGTCTAAACTTATATCGCATATATGATTTTGACGTATGTATCTGGAAATGGGGTCATACCAAATGAGTTGAATTACTACATGGCTAATGGATTTCAACACCGGGTAATAATATGTTCCTTACGAAGTCACAGGGTCTAGTAAAACTGATATGTTTTGAAAGATTTCTGGTGAACTTTTTGCCCATTGGAAAAGTTTCCCACCAACAGCGAGAATGCTAACTTTCGATTTCTTTCCATCTTTGTGGAAAAAATATATTTTTGTGCATTCAGTCCTGATCCTCATTTGTGTGCAGAACAAGAGCTTTTCAAATGTTTTCTTTGTTGAATATTTAAAGCCTCCGCCCCCAACATTCCAATTTGCTTTCTTCCATATTGCATGCTAAGAAAGTTTCACCCGAGGATCAGAACTTGCATCAGAAAAAAGGTTTTGACTCAAAAAATGTTATCTCAAGGGTGGAATATTCCTAACCTACAATGATGTATAAAATGTGATTCTTTTCCAAATAAGTGTCGAATTCAAAATGACGTATTAGGAATACTGTTGTACCTTTCAAACAACAAACCATGGATTTGACTATCATTACCTATAGACAGAAGATAACATGTTTGATTTACACTGAAAAATTCAGTGTGAATATTAAATCACGTTTGAATCCATTTATATTTCAAAGAACATTGCTTGAAACGGTATTGGTAATGGCAATACACAGCGTCCGAATTCTGTACTGTAAATAGCTTACACGATGATACAGATTTTAATCAACAGGTAAACAAATGAAATCTGTTAGCTGCGCAGAGGGGCCGCGGGCGAATGATGCGACCTTTTTGGGGCGTTTTTAAGGACTCGTTAAAAAGAACCTATTATTTTTTTTAAAAATTTAAAAATATATCACGCGAATTGACTTAAGATAAGGACTTTCTAACAAGCTAGTTTAAGAACCCAATCTTGAAGACAGCCATCCTTTTATGGTGTCTACGGGGGTAGCAGTCTGATATAAAATAACCGACGTATCATACTACTGACAGGTTGCTCAAAGATTTTATCGAGACCAATGGGATATCGTGTTCTTTGATCATGCACATTAATTGCAATGAACCCATGATGGATTTTCTGAGCACGTGCAAAGAAGTTTTTAAACTTATTTATGTCAATATTGCCGGGGCACCAAGTCTGATGAATATTTCGTAGCGTATGTTTATGAGCGCCGTTCAATATATCTCTGCTCACTACGGGCATCTGTGCGTATCGCTGTGTAACGTAAATGACCTCATTGTTTTTAAGTCTGCTTCGTGAGAATATTCTGGCTGGATTTGTTTACAAAGCGAAACACTGTTGTAAACTACAAGATTATTGATGCCGCCATCAAGATATGCGACCGACGGCACATCATTCATATTCCTTGGTCGATATTGAATCATTCGCAGCTCACTCAATAACTTGAGGACATCATAACGTCACTGCCGTCATCGTCGTTGTCATCATCATCAACAACAACAACAACAACAACAACAGCAACAACAATAACACCATTATCATCATCAACAACAACAAAAACAACAGCAACAACCATCCCTTAATCTAAGAGGTCATTGGGGCACCACAGTTGCATTTACAACCAATTCTATCCATCTTTCTCTATTCTCAATACCATTTTGAAATCTCCAAATTCCATGACTGGCCATTCCTTAACGTTGTGTTCCCATCTCTTTTTCTGTCTGTCTCTTTTTCTGCACCCTTGTACAGTGCCTTCCTAGATTGTTTTGCCAGTCCAGATGAGCTTGAGATATGACCATTCTACTTCAGTTTGCGCTTTAAAACAGTGGTCAAGAGATCTTCATAGGATTCGATGGCTTGATTGATCCTGTTGTATTTAGATTGTCAATATATGAGATGCCCAAGATCTCGCCATAGCATCTCTTTTCGAAGGCTTGAATCCTTCTTTGTAGATCGAATGTGAGCGTCTTCGTTTCATAAGCATACAGAAAGATAAATACGACGGTCGTAGCGCATCAGCCTTGTTTTGAAACCAAAAGCAGTATTGGTATATTTTCATATTGTTATTGCTGCTGTTGTCACGGAAATCCTACAAAGTGGTACTGGTTTGGAGCCCTGCTCTGTGATAATTGATACCAAGTGTTTAAAGCTTGTAAATTTTTCCAGCTTCTGTCCACTGACTTTTATTTCTACACAGATGTCATTGGTGTTGTTTGTCATCAGTTTGGTTTCTTTGGTGTTAGTCTTCATACTAGTATTCTTTGGAGGTTATATGGAGGCGCTCAACCAAGTCAACCAGTTGTTTTTCATCTCCTGCTAAACCATCAATATTATCTGCGAAGCGAAGGTTTGTGGTTGTTCTTCCTCCGATTCTGATATTGACCTTGTGGTCACGAAAGGCATCCTCCATGACCCTTTCCAGGAAAATGTTAAAGTCTTAAACATGGCCTAGCAGTGTAAAATTGTTTATCAGTTCATTCCAACTGTGCATTATCCTTTCTCGATCATGAAGAACCCACTTGTATGTTCAAATTTGAATTACATGACTTTGATTGGAATCGGAGGCCTGATCCTGCGTCCATGCTATTGTATTATGAATACCTCAAACAACTGATTACATGCTCCAAACTCAGTCATCTGATTGGTTCACCATGACAACATATCTAAATTTAGTTTCTAGCTTATACAAGCATTGATATACCTGAAGCTTTAAAATATCTGATCGATCTGCCAAGGTTTAGATGGGATTTAAAATATATGTACCTTCGCTAGCGACGACGAATCGAAACACATTTTAAAGTGTCTAGGTAACAATATACATTACTGTCGGACTCCATCTGTTGTTCGAAACCAATCTCCTCTGCTGCCTCTAATGAGAACAGCACTGATGGCTTTGTCATAAAGGTGCTCAACAACCTGTACCAGGTCTGAGCTGATGTTGTACTTTCTCATAATTGCCCAGAAGGTTGCATGTCATACCCTATCAAAGGCATTGTTAAAATATATAAAAACGTGGTATATGTTCTGATCGTGAAGTCATTTCTCGCAAAGGAATCTGAGATTGAAGATTTGTTCTGTTACAATTGATGTTTATATTGATTATTGTGACAAAATGTTCAAGTGACGGCAGAAGAAATCGCGAAGATTTGTTTACTGTTACAAGTCTATGCTCTTGAAATAAGTACGAGAAAAGAGTGAAGACATTAAGTTTTGTAAAATTTGACAAATAATTCATTTCCCTGGAATATTAAGTCAAAACTGAGAAGAAAAAATGAACTTACGGTTTTAAGAATATCAAATCCAAAAAAATCCGAGAATTAAAAAATAGAAGTCCTAGTGATAAAAAGTCATGAATGAAACTGAGCTCGATTCCCAAAGAAATCCAAACTGGAAGACGATGACCTTCAAATTTTAGACGTGTAAACATCTTTTTAAATCACATAAAATATTATTCCAGTTTTGAATTTCGTATTAATTTCAGTGAATGTCTTAATCTAAGAATTTTGTATGAGCCCTTAAGTATTTCCGGGGAAAAGAATCACTTGAAATTTAATAAAATACATTTTCAACTGAAACTGGTCACAACATAATTTAACGTGTCAATTATTTGGAGCCCGACAGAACTAATCTCTATCAAGACAACAGTTATTCACATATATACAACGCAAAATAGATTCTCGGATGAGGGGGAGTCTACTAGAAAAGGTAGAAATTTGTAACAATAAATACATGTTTCTTATCCCTTACTTCAGGTATGGCATTGATTTAATGATTCTAACTCTGAGAAAAACTTTTTAAAAAATTAAAAAGTCGTTTACCATAATTGTCACTGACTCTGAAACAAGGTCAGGATCAGATACTTAAGAATATTTTCTTGCTCAAAATAAATTTAAGAGAAACCTCAGACCAATTCAAATGCAGAATTAATAATCCACAATTCAAAGCTAGCCGCGGTAGCTTAATGCCTGCCTCGCGATCAAAAAGATCGCCCGGGACGTATCATCGAATCAGCCCGGGACGTATACCGAGGTGTGTCTTGGGGCAATGCATTTTGCTTCAATTAACTTTATTGACAACAGTGATGTGATTATGATTTTTAAGGTAGCTTTAACAATGTTTCAGTCATATCTCTACGATGTCTGCTGTGTGGCAGTTTATAGTGATGTTTAGTACTAGGGCATCATGCCGCAGACATGTAGCATAATGTCCCACCCAGTCACATTATACTGACACCAGGCCGACCAGTCTTAACACTAACTTCTTAATGCTGAGCGCCAAGCTAGGCAGCTGTTAGTACCATTTTTGTAAGTCTTTGGTATGATTCGACCAGGGATCGAACCTACGACCTCCCGCATCCGAGGAGGATGCCCTAACCACTAGACTACTGGAGCGGTTCATTGACAACATTAAATTAGTTATTTGTTTTGTTGTTTCTTAAACATCAGAACGAAACCAAATCCATCTTCACAAGCCAAGAATCCAATACGTTAACCCTATCTACACCTTGGGTTATCGATCAGATATTTTAGTGGTTTGTCCTAGCGATATGTATTGGATATCAGGTTTTGCCTTCCGAAGGTATGTAATGCCAATTAACCAATAGCGTGTAACAGCATTGCATTATACATGGTCAGAAAATGATTGCGGTAATTATTTTCAAAATGACACTTTGGAAGTTTAACATCAAAAATATGACAACGTGCTAGAGGGAAGTCATCACAGGTGTATTTGAGATTAAAGGCTTTACTTAAACAAACATGGACTAGCAGTGTAAAATTGTTTATCAGTTCATTCCAACTGTGTATTCCCTTTCTCGATCATGAAGAAACTACATGTATGTTCAAATTTGAACTACATGCTTTTAATTGGAATCGGAAGCCTGATCCAGCATCTAGTAGCATTGACATACCTTTAAAATATTTGATCGATCTGCCAAGGTTTAGATTGAATATAAAGATCTGAGCCTTCGCTAGCGACGACGAACCGAAAGTACATTTTTAAATTCTTTGGATTGACAGATCTGAGTAGCCATGGTGACTCTGTGTACTGTCATTATACCTGAAGTGATAGTTACAACGTAATATTGTGGGAAAAAGAAACAAATCAAAAACGTTTCAAGACTGTTTTTGTATCAATGGCGAAAAATTAATGAATTAAAATTAATTATAGTAAAACCATATCATGTTTAAGAAAGAAGTTAAATATGTGGTTAAGTTCGCAATGGTCAATTTCAACAGAATCCGCTGACACAACATACAAAATTATCATAATATTCCATCATGCATTATCAAGTATAGATAAAACATTTTATAAGCAGGAATAATATATTAAGGAATGATTTTACTTTTATACTTCTTGTTTACCCTTTTGGATTCCTTCGTCTCAATAGAATATTCAATAATTACAAAAAATTAAAGTGTATATAATTCAGAGATGAGGAGTTACAAATAGACATCAAACAGGAAAGTGTTATCATTGGTAATGCTTTCTACAGTTTGGAGTATATATGTAACTTACATTAGAGTGCTTGGTATTGAGATATAAATTATACGGAGAAAGGGTATTGTCTTTCCATTTAGAGATGCGTGTTTCATTTTAGAGATGCATACTTCATTCCCAAATTCGACTAAATTCTTCCATTCAAATAACAAGTAAACCCAGTACTTCAATACAATTACAAAATCCCCACTGCTTGTTGGATAAGTCATGTATATTCCTTATCAGTTTGTAATATTTTAAAGCATTAGTTTTCTTCGTCTAAACTTGTCTTTAATATGCCACATAACCGCTTATTCATAATTTTCGCTATCCTACTAAACTTAAAAGGGCATACCACTCTTTTCTCAAATTATCTCTAATTCCGAAGTATCTCTTGGAAATTCTGTATCATTATATTTATAGACCACACTAAAGGCAGAATGGTGCTGACCTGTCATTTACGTCTGTACGTACATATTTTTCAGAAGATAAGATTTTATTGTTTCAATACATATTTAATCAGATCAATCCCAAACAATATAATCTGCTGTCAAACACTAGGTGCTTCTGATTAAAATTAAAATATGTTTTTATGCAATTGTTAAATATGGTTTCATTTAAAATAGAAATTGTATATAAGAAAACGAAATCGGTATCATGTCTTCCAGTATATCACTAAACTAACGAAACCATCTGGGTGCCATTTCAACTTTAATTGAGTCCCTTACAAAATAGTAAATACTTTTTCCTTAATTGTCCGTGGTCGAAAGAAGAAGGTTACCTGCATTGAATAAACGACAGTATCAGTTTAAAATTAAAACGAAATGTTTATTTAGTATCTTTTAAGTAGGCTTCACAGAGCAAGAGGGTGTGATTCAGATAGTTCAGGAAAGGTCATATGTACTAATAATTCCAATATTATTTCAAATTTAGCTCTTTCCAGAAAATACAACATAACCAGTGCTGAATTATAGTATGCCATGTTTTGTCTTTGCTAGCGTTTAACGTAATATGATAGCACCAATGCTTCTAAACGTATACCATAACAATCATTTTCAACAAAATCTAAAAATAGAAGGAAATATAAAAGATCCGAATTAAGTATTACAGTAATACCTTCCAATAGCTTTTTGACAACTCATGTAAAACAAATAGTCAAATATAACGAGTAAAGGACACATCTCATTGATAACACTCAAATAGCATGAGTAAAGGACACATCTCATTTATAACACTCAAATAGCATGAGTAAAGGACACATCTCATTTATAACACTTAAATAGCATGAGTAAAGAACACAACGTATGTAGTACAAATAGTCAAATAACGCAAAGCAAGGACTTATGCATTACAAAGAGTCTAATACTACAAGTAAAGTACAAAACTTGTGTATATCAAAGAGTCAAATGCTGGGGGTAAAGAACACGACTTGTGTATAACAAAAGGTCAACTACTTTGAGAATTAAACACATCTTATGTATTACAAATAGTCAAATATTGAGTAAAGAACATAATATACTTCTTACAGATAGTCAAATAACATTAGTAAAGGACACATATTATGTCCAAATTAGTGTATCATGTAATAAATCAATTTGCAGGTTGATTTTGTGTAATTTTCTAGAATAATGGTACAAAAAGACATATATTTCTTTAATAGGATGTGGTAATATTTATTTGATATTTCGAAATTTATTTAAAAATTACATGAAAACTTATTACAATATTAAACGCAGGTACTGTACGTTTATGTTATTTGTAATTTAATCTTTTTCTCTACCAGACGTGATGTCATTGTAATCCTGATTATGTTAATAAGCTAGTAACTAAATTTAGATATGTTGTCATGGTGAACCAATCAGATGACTGAGTTTAGAGCATGTAATCAGTTGTTTGAGGTATTCATAATACAATAGCATGGATGCGTGTAGAGAGGTGTGCTTTTCAGTGTGAATTGTCGACGATACATCTAACTTAAACAATTTATTAGCGGAAGGTGAAATACAGTCATTCCTTTCTTTGATGATACCGGATGTTACTTTTCATTTTTCTTGGAGATCATGTTTTATCCAGCCCAAAGTGGCTTCTGGCAGTTCAAGACAAACTGTTAATCGTTTGACTAGCTTTCGCAATACAGATCATAACAATAACGTCATCAAGGGGACAAATTCAACCTTGGGCGGACATTCCAGAAAATTTGACTGCATCCAAATTTGTTAAGCAGCTAGATGAGGAAGAACGTCAAGGTCTCAGTTTCTATCGGAACATCTTCAACTATACAGATAATGTGCACCAGACGGGTGTTTCGTCTTTGTGTTCAAGAGCATGATCACGTGACCAGATTGGTGATACATCTGTCAACAACATTGTCACGTGACCTGGAAACAGCTGATACACCACGTGATCTCAAAATGTCGGACCGTAACGGCTATTAAGGTGGCGCTCACCAGTTATTATGTACTTTTGAGAGAGTGATGTATGTAAGGTGAAGTTGTTTGCATTTTAAACATGCACAGTGCAGAGAATGTTGGCATACCTATATACTACTTTCATGTAATGTGGATGAAATTTCTTTGGATATTGTACTTTTGGAAATTTTAAATGATCTTGGGACACTGCTAACTAAAATGACTGCTCTCTTCTGCTCCAAAAATCAGCCTAAATTTGTCTAAATTACACTATTCTTGGCAGCTATTAAAATATGGAAAATGAATTTTGCCAAACTAGATAATACCAGCTTCTAAAAGTGCAATGACTGAATTACCAAATACATAAAATGTAAAAAAAGTTATCGGCTCTTTTTTTTTACAATTTACCTCTGAAGTTCGAGAAGTGAAAATGAGCAAGTAGAGCTAGCACGTTTTTGAAAGGTGCACATGTGGAGTAAGGCCAAGCTGTATATTCTCTAACCCATATTACACCCATCAATCATACATCAAAATAAAGGGAATTAAAGGTTCTTTGAACAACACCTAAGATATACAAAGTCTCTTTCAAATAACCAGTATAACTAGTGAGGCAACCCGGGGAAACTTTTTTTTCTTTAAAATTTTAACCCTATGCTAAATACGAAACTGTAGAGCGCCACCTTAAAAACAAATATAAGCATTTATGAAATTATTTTTCTTATTTTCATATTATTATGTATGATGTTCTGAGTAAAATGGTACATTAACAATGATTTTATTCATGAAAATAAGCTAATTATGCTTATTTTTGCTCTAGCATACATAATTTGATATGAGGCATGTTTGGGTGAGTAGTGACCTTCATTATGGGGAAATTAGAAGTCTTAGAATATAGGAATAAAGTCAACTTAAATTGAAAAATGTTGCATTAAGTAAAAGAAATCCATAGTGAAAATGTTTTATTTCATTTATTTGCAATGAAATTAAAAAATAAATGATAACAAAGCAAATTTGCTTTCTTCCGTATCAAAGAATTAGTTAATATTTACCCTTTGACCTTTAACCTTTATGAACCTCACCTGTTATATCCCTTTTATAACTGTAAAATTTACTGTTGACATCTCAGGAATAAATATGGCTAGTTTCATGTTCTTGTCCATCAGCATAACACTGGTTGCTATGTTGACAAAATGCAATGCGAATTTTTAAAATAGTTCACTTTTTATCATAAGGGGGGGGGCTGTACCGGTTTAAGACTCTGACTCTAATAAATGCTGCTCTGAGGGGGGAAATACATGACAATTATTACAAAGGACTGTTATGATGCTTGCGACTTAAATATTTCAGTCGTATAATCAAAATTAAATCATACAATAATAATACCTATATTCTCTTTATGGTGGCGCTCACCAGTTATTATGTACTTTTGAGAGAGTGATGTATGTAAGGTGAAGTTGTTTGCATTTTAAACATGCACAGTGCAGAGAATGTTGGCATACCTATAT